CCTTGTCTATATTTCTTTTCTCTCTCTCTCTCTCTCTCTCTCTCTCTCTCTCTCTCTCTCTCCCTGGTAGCTGATCTTATACTATAATGCCAATAGAGCAAATACAGTAGACAAACAATTAAGGGGAGAAAGTAGGATTTGCTCTTACTTCAAGAGCATATGTGAGAAGGAAAATAAATATTATAAGATGAAGGAATAAGACTCCACGTTTTGGTAGTAACAGTGATTTCTGTTACCATAGCATTTGTTAACACCTCGGGACTTACATCAAACCTCCAAACATAAATGAAAGCTGTATTAATTATCTTCTTTCAGATATTCAGATTGATTTATGGACAAAATAAATATATGTTGAAACTTAGATTTTGTTTGTTTTTAACTGCTTTCCATTTACTCAAATCATTGTCAAATATACCTTAAAAGTTCAATGAATTGAAAAAGCCCAATTGTCTGCCTCAAGCTACATTTATTTTATATTATCTAATTCTAATCATAGACAGAAATACTGAGCATATGTCAAGATTTGGAAGAGTTCTTACGGGCTCTTAAGTGCCCATGATAGGTGTAAAATACTTCTGCAGGAGAAGAAATGTGCCGTGACAGCTCCATCCTTTAAAAAGAGGGGAAGAGCTGGGAACTACCTCAGGGAAAAAAGAGTAGAAGTAACTCTAGGTCCTCGGGGACTTTCTAATCCACGACTGCCTATTATTAATTCATTATACTTCGTATTTTCTTTTGGGGATAAAATTGTCATTTATGTCACTCCTAAAACCAAATGACATTATAAAAAGACACCTAGTGGAAAAAGTATTAACAAAAGTAACTGTCACTGCTGCATAGAGACAAACAAGTTATACAATGGGGGGTCGGGGGGGGGGAACAATCCGAATATTTTGTATCACAGTGAAGCAAGTCACCCATTATACTGAGGTTAATTTGTTGACTCAGGATTTCTACTTATCCAATGATACTGAAGCACATGAACCAACCTCTACATCTAATCAGATTTTTTTTTATTGAATTGTGACCTTTAATCCACCTTCTTCTTGATTATGAATGACAGTGACCTTTATCTAATTTAAAGCAGACACTCTGATGCAAAAATATGCAAACTACACATGTAAATTCTGAATCAAACTGAAGACATGCATAATACACTGGGAGAAATTATTTCAGAAGACATTTATATTAAGGCCGAATGAGGTATCTGAGAGTAAGTGAATTAGTCAGCAAACGAATGGTTGGTCGGAAGAGTTGCAAAGACCAAATGCTGTTTATATTTCTCAGCCTCTATTTAGAAAACTGAAATGTCAATATACATATCAATTTTTATTATTCTACTCAGCATTCTGTGGCATTCAGGAAATGATCACAATGTAATAAAGCCAGACGAAATTATTTTTCAGAGGGCTGGCAAACTGTGCCTGAATATTCAACTCATTTTCATTTCGATTCATTCTCTGCCTCACAGAAACCTGGTGAAATGCAGCTACTGCATGTGTGGCATGTGGACTTCCTGATACTGCTTTATCTCATTAAAGAGGAACTTCTTGCCCAACAGCAGCTGGCAGTCAGTTGTGTTGCTAGGATATATTTAGCTACTATTATCTCAAAGAGAAGAGTCAAAGAAATAAAAGAAGCCTGCTTGCATTGAGAATCAGATGAACGAACATCCTATACCAGATCTACCTCTCCTGATTCCCCCTTTTTTGCACCGGCTCTTTCCTTTTTCTGTGGATTAATACAAATGGTTCTGAGCTGACATGAGTGAGGGCAAACCCTGCCCTGGGCACCAACTCCAATGCAGCCTGATCCTGTAATCCACTCTCCTCTTTCTCAAGCCATTCCATTCTATGCAGAGCTGCTAATGCAAACTGGACGTTGGCGCTTCTCACATTACACTGTTGTCTATATGTCCTAAACCACCAAAATACACGCATATTACGTACGCCTAAAACACACGAGTCACATGTCCGCATTTTATTACATACACATGTATATGGGTTTGTGTATGATGAGGACTGTTCGTCCCAGCAGGAGGCCATTGAGAGCATTTCGCTGTCAGAACCCCACCAAACTGTATCTGGCACGAGTTTATACTTTTCAGATTAACACCAGGGGGTTGTCAGCTTGCTGTCTCTGAAATAAACAGATTTTCCCTGACAGATAATCAGCATTTTGCACTGCCTAATACATGTTTATCTTCCACTATTGACATAATTATACTGAAAGTGCACTTAATATAATCTTTCATAGGAAATTAAATAGGTTTTAATGATATACTTCTAATGGATTGGGGACAGCGTTGAGGGAGAGAAATATCGCTACTAGATGTTTTGGGAGAACACACACGTGAAACAATGACAAAGGAATCAATGAACATCAGGAAAAAAATCAATGACAGTCGGTGTTTAAGAAATTCATTTACATAGTTTCCAAAGAAATCAGAAAAATCCTACAAGGCTGTGAAATACCCTCCTGGTTTTCTCATGTCCTGATTCCTTTTTCCTTCTGATATGTGCTCCGTGCTCACTTCACACACAGAATCCTCTTAGGTGGCTTTTATATTCAACTAATTGAGAGTTAACTCTTCTAAAAGTTCTCACTCCAGCTGGTGAACTTAGGTTCTGAAAATCTTCAGCGGCCTGCACAGATCCTAGTAGGAAGAATATTCAGCAAGCTCTGTATTAGCTCGTGCCTATCACCCCCGTGTGCCTGGGAGCATGGGCAGGCATGCCATCTTAAGAGCCAGAGAAATTAACACATGTTGGTTATTAGGCACCAGGCCTTAAGGATATTAAATCAGGGCCTCAGAAGAAGAGGTAGGTGGAAATATTAATTTCAGTCAAAATTATACATATAATGCGTGGCATAGGAAACATTTTTCTTTAAGGGGTTTGTTATTCACAGCTATGACATGCTTCCTGGCATAGGAAACATCATTTTCCTTTAAGGGGTTTGTTATTCACAGCTATGACATGCTTCACTGCCACATGAGAAGACCTAAGAATTTGGTCTGACTATCCTCCGAAACTAGCCTAGTAACAGGATCAGTGCTTTGTTGTCCCATGAATCTCTTTTCTTTTCTTAGCTACAGATGAAAATGAAGCCATGAAACATTTAAACACATATGCCTATGAGTGGGATCCAGGGTAATGCAAATTTGATTTTGAAGAGAAAACAGAATGAATATGGGGAAGTACTGTGAAGCATCTTCTCTGAGATCAGACTCGTTTGGGCAGATAGCAGATATTATTTCACTTTTTACTATAGAACTGAGAAGTGGGTATTTTTATTTCCATTTTCCAGATGAGGACTCTGAAACTCAGAGAGATGAAATAATACCCCCAGTTGCTGGGATTCCAACTCAGTTCTGCCTGCCTGAAGCTAGTGTTCTCTTTGTTTCACGATGCATCCTCTGTACACTCAGCTCCCATGATTTTAAATGCCTCTGATTTTTGTTTTCCAGTCAAGGATGCAGACTTTAAACCATGGACCTCCATTGTTTTCATCAATGACAAGGATACATGCGCAGTCCCCTGCAGGCTGCTCTGTCTTCTCTCTGAATCCAACAAAACCCCAGTGGCCAGCAGGCAATGGCTTTTACATGCTAACCAGAAGAATTTCACAAATAGTCTTTACCATGTCCATGGCTAAGGGTTGAAAAATAAAATATTGAGAGTTGAGACAACAAACTGTCTCTGGCATGAGGCCCGCGTACCTAAATGGGGAGGGGCAGCCATAGGTTTATGCCTTTATCCTGAATCTTCAGAGGAACAGATATTTTTGTTTCCTCTGGTACCTGGCACCCAGAAAAAGGTAGATGAGCAGCTTTGCTTTGTACCCAGATTGATGAACCCCAAACTGCTTTTCCTGTTTCCCTCCTGCCAATACTTGTTCCTGAAGCCCGCGTCTTATTCCACGCATCCTGGGTTTTTTTCCTGGCTGACCATCTACCCTAGAAGCTGCCCTGAAACCCACTCCTCTGACGGGCTGCTTCTCTACCCTGCTAGGTGTTGATATCTGCCTGGGTAAGACTGGATTTGCCAATTTTAAAAAAAATTTGATATATGGTTGGGGGTCTCTCTGTGGGATTTCTTATTAGATGGACTAATTGAAAGTTTGCTTTGCAAACCACCTTATATCCTCTTTGCTTTCATCCTTATTTAGCACCCCGACCCTGTTTAGTCTATTCATTTCCAGGGAGCCAAAGCTTCAGGCCAAAGAATAGTTTCTCTTGAGATTAATTATTATTTTCATTTCATTTATAGTGTATGAAGATTTAATGATAGAAGTTAAAAAGCTGTAAACTGTGGTTAATCAGAAATGCCAAGATCTGAAATCTTTTTTTTAAAGTATATTTTATTGATTTTTTTCAGAGAGGAAGGGAGAAGGATAGAGAGTTAGAAACATCGATGAGAGAGAAACATCGATCAGCTGCCTCCTGCACAACCCCCAATGGGCATGTGCCCGCAACCAAGGTACATGCCTTTGACCGGAATCGAACCGGGGACCCTTCAGTCCGCAGGCTGATGCTCTATCCACTGAGCCAAACCAGTTAGGGCAAGGTCTGAAATCTTTAACATTCTCTAAGCCCTTCTCTCCTCTTCTCTCAAGATATCTCTCTTCCCCATTCTCTCACCAGCTTCTAAATGGCCTTATTTTCTCTTGTCTCATTTAGTTTACTCCTGCTCTCACCCACTGTAGTTCTTTTGCCAGTTGCCTCTCCCTTTAACTTCCAAAATGGGAAATCAGAAATGTATGTACATATAATTTTATCTATTGGATTAATTTCTTCTGTTGCCCTTTTTAAAGTTGAACACAGGTCAAGTTTCCTACACTGTCAGAGCTTAGGCCCAGTGTCTGCAATACAAGTAGGTCTTAAGAAATGTTTTGAATGAATAGATGTTTCTCTGTTTGCACTTGAGATAAATTTTAAAAAAATATATAACCTAAACTAACTAGATTCTTAGCAATTCCATTAATCATTCAAATATTAACCAAGAACAGTCTCTGGCCTTTATACTGAGACAATGTCTGTGAAGGACACAGAGTAAGTATTACTGACTTTCATTGTAAGTAGCTTACAAGCTACATGGGATACAACAATATGACATATAAAACAATGAGGGAAATATGAGAAAAGAACAGTTAGTGGCTGACTTGTGTGGAATAACCGTAGGTTCTGTGAAAATATAGGGAAGAGGTCTCAGTGACTTGGGGAAGGCCACTTGATTAATTCTTTTGGGAGAGAGTAACATATGTAACAAGAGCCATCGACAAACAAATCAACAAACAGACTTTCCAATCCTCATTTAAGGTTTTTTGCAAATTTTGGTTTTACTTTCCAAACTGTGAATTTTAATTGCCAGTGAAGTTTTATTTTTGAGCTCAAATGTGTTGATAACTGTCCAGTCTGAACTGATTGCTAATACATTTGAAAATTAAGTTATCTGAATGTTTTTTGTTCTCATTACAAGCTTTTCACAGTGAGAAAAATATTTTGATTTCATTTTTTTAATTTCATGAAACTGACATATTTTTAGATAGGAAATTCAGTTATGCAGCCGAAGGACTTAGCAACGAGGGGCACATTCTTGAAATATTTTTAGGCCCATCTTAACTCCTTTCAATGTTTATATCAACACATAGCTCATTACCACCATTCCTGGTTCTCTCCCTGCCCTTTTTTATTTCCTTCAAGGTAAGAATATCAGCCTACCAGTAATGGAGAAATCAAATCTGAAAGGAATGTCTCACGGGCTAAAGAACTCAGCAAGAGATGATGGAAGGGTAAGCTCAAATTTAAATTAATTCCCAACCTTTCCTGCACCGATGGTTGATGTCTAACTTAGCTAATCTGGGCAAAACCGATATATTAAAATAACTTTAAAGATAGGTTCTCAAGCTTTCTGCATGCCAGCAGATAGGGGTTCTGGGCATATGGGGCAGTCCATCTGCCTGATACTTCAAATAAGATCTAAAAAGAATGTGGTGTCACAGAAGGGCATCAAAATTGTTTTCCATTACTCCTGAAATGTGTAGGTTGCTCAATTGCTACTGACCAATGCCCCCCATATTTCTGCCACTTGATAATGTGTTAATATTGTTCTGATTTTTTATTTACATTACATATATGATATTCAAAGTTCAAATGAACACAGCCTCTGAATCAGATTCCTATGAGTTATATGCATAATAGTTCATCTTTTCACACTAGGAGGATAAAACGGTGTGAGACAGTTCCAGCTACCCCACATAAACAGACAGAAGTAAAGCCACAAAAAGTTTCCCTGTACGGACCTCTTCTTGTCCACTTCTACTTACGGAGATAACACCTTCTGACACCAGGACAGACAACTATGTGCAGTGTTTCATATTCCCACCACTTAAAGGTACACTTTCATTTCATTTGTTTCCTTTACCTGTTTTATAATTACGGGTCTACTTCAACTGGGAAAGTTTTCATTCAGATGAGCCCAGTGGAAATATAGGCAAGGAAAAAGGATTCCTTTCATTACCCAGTAGATTAAAAGAAAAAAAAGATATGACAAGACAGAAGAATATACTATACATTTTTTTTCTGACAGAAACAGTTGTTTGCATGTAAATTTTAATTGTAACCAGAACTTCAATGGAGTTGCAAGGAAATGTAGTTAGATAAAGCCTCAGGTTAATTTCCATCGTTACCAAGCACTTTACACCACTGAAAAATTCCAAACATATAAAGAGATGTCAATCTTGTTCTTTAGACAGAATTTTTTTTTTTAAAGGATTGTGTGGGGTGGGGACAGGGCTTCAAAGACTGTCAGTCGACAAGTCAGTAAATTACAGATCTGATTTAGTTCTTAACTCCTTGAGGTAAAAAACAAATGTTCTGCAAGACAAACCATTCCTGGCATGCATTAAATGACACAACTTTAAAAAACCCTGCTATGATGGTAATACAGATAGAGGTGAAGAGCTATGAAAAGAGTTGATTAATCAGAATCGGATATGTATTTGTATCAAGAGTACAGAGGGTACCTAGAACTGTTTTGCTATTGGGGGGAGGAGGATGTCCTTATATTTAGTCATCTGATCTCGTTAGCCAGGAAGACATTATTGTGTGATGTTTTGAAGCCAGTATCATAATAAATGGCTTCAAATCCCAGTTCTACCACAATTGTGTGGCCTTGACTAAGTTGCTGAACCCCTCTGTACCTTGATGTCTTTATGAGAAGGGGATGGTGGTCCCATGGATCTCAGAATGGTATGCAGATTAAATTAACCCAGATAAAGCAATTAGTCTGCTGAGTTTGCACTTAACATTATAATCGATCCATGCAGAACGAGGAGTTTCAAGATTTAGAAAGCACATGCGGTAAGATACAATCCTCCCTGAGAAAATTTGCATGTCTACAGATGATATGGGCATTGAATGTCTGCCGATGAAGCACATCATTTCCCCTCAAGCAGGGTTGCAAGTTTCCCTGGCCCCACCGAACACTCCTGAAGTTACAAAGAATGTACTAACATCCTCCAAAGCATCCTTTTAAGATGATCATTGATCCCTTTCACTGTACTGAGTAAGATCCGCAGAAGAGGGTGAGGTGGGAATAGCAACGTGGTATTACATACAGCTACAGTGTTGACCAGTTCCGGGGTGCTGCTGCAAGGCGCACAGAAATGGAGAAAACTGGAACTTACCCTGAAGACCTGCTTAAGTGAGTTACCAGGGGAATGGCAAGTTTACAGAGGAAGCAAAAGAAACCCAGGGGAATCGAAGGCTGTGAGCACTTAACTTAGGATGCACAGTCAAACCTGATTTAAAGGCAAACAACTGAGGTCTTTGGAGAGTTTCCTAGGAGGTATGCAAACACATGTGAAAGTCTATAAAATATGTGCTTTTGAAATAACTCTGAAATGATGGTCTGAGATTCCATGGGGGGAATGCCTTCATACCTATCAAATCCTGGTAATTTGGTTGAAAAGAGACTGCCTGGTTTGCATTTTCTCTGTCCCCAAAAGATATCCCTGGGCACTTTTTATATCTCTCCACAGCTTGGCTGCAGACAGAGTATTGCGTGGCGCTCCTTTGTTTTGAAAGGGCACCCTTTAGTTTCACACTCCTCTCAAGTCCACACAGCCAGGCAGTCCCACACACCTTCCCATCTGTGAAGATCCTCCTGTGTCGGGTGCTCTTCTCCAACGCGCTTTAAATATGAAAGAATCACCCTGAACCATTAGTAAGGAGTCCCTTTCTTTCCCTGTAAGATGTGAATGGAATCCTCCAGTGACAGTGTCTGGGAAGAAGATATTCATGGGCAGCTACACGATTCGCATAGATAAGTGTAATCAGCCCTTCCTGGGAAGCCTCAGTTTCCTTTTCTACTCAGCATCTCAAAGAGTTTTGGGAAATTCTAATTACTGCATAAGAAATAAGTCAAATTCCTCTTCTCTCACTGTGAAGGACTTTTACGACCCACTGCTATGACACATATCTTTTTTTTTTTCCGTTGCTACTCTGGCAGAGTAGCCTGCATACCAATAGGCTCACTAAAACGCCACGAAGCAGAACATATTTATCTGTTCAATTCTATGTACAGTAACCTAACAAATGCCAGAGACAGAAAGATTGCCCTCTGCACAGTAATACTTGTGTAGATGTCTTCTTTATGCTAACAATGACAGGGCTTCATGCTTTGTACTGTACTCAAACATCAGAGTGTATTTTTTTTATAGTAGAAGACTCTGTATCAAAAAGAAAAATAACTGCACTTTTTTGGCACTGAAATATTTTGTGTGGACAATAAATCCCCTCCTCCCTCAAACTCCACTAACTACAGGTATCTACCTAGAAGATGAAATCTAAGATTTATGTCATCAAAACTATTCAGTAGACCAGAGGATAATTTTTTCTTCTTTTAGGATTGTCAACTTTGTTTACTGTTTATTTGCAATTCTATCCTGTGCAAGAGATTAAAGAGTCTTGCCATACCCACATGTCAAACCTTCTTAGAAAAAAATCAGATAACAAATGTAAAATTATATTAGTAAGGAGTGTTTTCAAAGACATATTACATTTATTGAAATCTAAATCATAACTGAAATGTCATAATTATATTTGTACTAATCAAAAAGATTTTTGAACCTGTAATTTTATGACATTTAGTATGTTTTAAAATTTTAATGACTAAGAAATGATTAAAATATTATTACAAGTAAGTTCAAGAAAACACATATGAAGTGATATAAGCCCAGGAACTGCCTTCATAAATCAGATGCATAGCATCGAATCTGTTAGTTTCTTACATGCATTTTCAATCCAAACATAACCATTTGCCTATTGAAATCAGTTTTTAAAAATGATATCAAACAGTGTTCTACAAACATAAGCTTTTTATTGCCTTGTGACAGTAAACTTTTTTATATCATGTCAGGTTTAATCAATGGCAAAGCAATAAATAGCAGCATGTATTATGACTGTAACTGAATTCTAACTAATTATAATACTCCTGCATAACCTAGTCACAACTTATGAATTGTGAAGAATAAATCTATTTAACAGGCCTGTTAGCAATAAGGCCTTTAGCTTCTTGCTTTGCAGAAGAATGAAGTAAAATCTATCCTTTTTCTTGCTGTTGTCAAAAACATTTCAACAGTTAGTTTTTTTTCACAGAAAACACTGCAGGACGGTTCCAGTTTTTTTTGTTTTAAATCAACATGGTTGTATTTTACACTTGGCTATTATTGGCCAGGGTACACAATAAGTGAAAACATACTGATAACTTATTATTTTTTTTTAAAGAGGGAAAACTTGCTAGGGGATTGTATTTCTAGATTAGAGAGTGGACACTATAATCTTTCTGGCATTGTAAAACTGGAGCTGGCTGCAGGGAAAATAAACATTATGTACAATCACCGACACTTAAACAATTGTACCTATATGGTAAGTAACAGAAGCCTGAGACACCTGGAACCCCAGCATTTGTGTCGAATGCCGGCAACAACAAAAAGCATTCAAATGACATTTGATAATGAGCAGACAGCGGAGGCATTACGCGCGTCTTTAGAAGAATCAGACTTCCTACCTTGAAAAGACAGATGGAGGTAAGTTCCTTTATTTAAAAAAAAAATTGTAAGGAAAGCCAGGCAGCAGTTGCAGTAAATTGAGTCCTTTCAGTCACTGTATACATACAGCGGTCCTGCAATAAGGGGAAAAATGTAATGGGAGGAGCGGCTGTGAACGAGTGACCTCCGCAAGCTGAGTCCTCTCTGGGAGCCACGCATTGAAAGCCACTGCTGCTGATTTGCATGGATTATCTCCCCTTGAACAGATACGGAGCAGATACCCTTAAAATTGAGCTGGCACAATGGCAAGAAGATGGAAGAGTGAATGAATGAGGGGCAGCACAAGAGAGGGAGAAAGAGAAACAGACACGAGATCGGAGAGCGTGGATAAGCTGGTTCTTGCAGAACTGTGTCTCAGAAGAGCTACAGCTCCCTCTTCATGTCACAGTTGTAAGATAAGAAATGTTGCCATTAAGAACTGGTTAATTAGAGGGAAATATACCCAGGTTAGCGGATGCTCTATCGGATCTGATTTTTATGAACGTTTTGACTCTGTTTTGTGATCAGGATTGTACTGAAAATCTTTTCTTGATAAACAGCTAAACAAATTTGGATAAAACCTTGAGTTTTGAATGAAATCTGAGTTTTGACTTGATTGCCATACATGTCAGTGAAGAAACCTAGCCAGTTTGTTAAGTCGAGTATTTATTTTGGAAAATATTAATCCCTGTTAACTTTTAGAGATCTAGTGGTATATACTGCAATGTAAAAAAAATATCTAAATATCTATCAATAATTAATTATCTAAAAGAACCCAAGTATAGAACTAAAAGAGAGCTTTATAAAAACCTCTTTGAGTTGCTAATTGTTTGTTTTCTTCATGTTGTCTCTTGTTGGTATTTCAAAATAAAAGAAATATGTCTTTCTATAAAATATAGATGTATATTAATATGCAATTATTATTTGCTTTTCCATTCAGCATCTTCGGAGTTTTATATATTCATACTGTCATTTTAAAAATGAGAAAGGGGATAGGGTGGGGGGGATATGATTGTAACTCATGCCAACAGTCACTCAATAGTCTGCGGCAGATCTCAGAAGAAAAGAATAACCCTCATTTAGCAAGTTCCTGTGAAGCCTGCCTTCTCTTTGTGTAAAGGTGTCTGCAGATGCCCAAACAGCCAGGCAATTAGGTCAATTCAAAGGAAAAATCAGTCAAACCAGCTGGTTGAGTGAATGGATCACAGCCTCGGGAAAGCAGTATTAACTTGGTGTGGACCCAATGACATCGTTTAAATATGTTTCAACAAATGACATTAAGACTCTCACCATACACATGTAAGCAATATTTGCACAGGGGGTCAGGAGAACAGTTAGGTTTTTGCGGCTGTTGGAAATCCACATCCTGTCAGTGAAGATAAAGAATTGGAACACTCTGTACTTACAGGAACTCCGACTTGATGGACGGAAGTGATACTTGAAAAGAAATCTCAAGGGAAATGACAACACACATTTCCATGTGATTTAGTAAAGACCTGGAATTTCTGAAGTGTGCAGACTTGGTGACTACATCAGTGTTTAGGAAACAATTGCTTGAAAATAAAAGGGAGAAGACAATAGTTACTTTATGTTTGTGATATCTAAGAGCCTGCTCTCTGAGTGGATGGTTTCTTATATAAATTTGGGCACGGCTTGTACACAGTTTGGAATTGTAACATAATGTTAAGTGAGGTCTTAATATCACTTTTCAGGTTGTAAATTCTTTGGAGTCAGGGACCATATAATATTCTCTATATCAGTTGCTTAATATAAAAATTGTATTCATAAATTATCATATCTTCTGTGCCCTCATGAAATAAAAGAAATAAATAGAATATCAAAGTCTTGCCATATATAGGATCACAATAAGAGTAGCAGCAGTGCTAGGTTGTAAATGGACACATAAGCTTAAGTGCTCCCTTCCTTCTACCAGGGGCTAATGTCCAGAAGATATGCTTAAGATTTGAGTCACAACTTTCTGGTCACCAGCAGCTGACTGGGACAATTATTAGCTTTGTGACCAGGAGCAAGTGACTTAACTTATTTGCAAAATGGGGATACTAAAATGACTTTTATTATGTGGTTGGTATAAGGAATAAAGAAAAGGATTTTGCATAGCACCTAGGTAAACGTTAATTAGGATATGCTATTTTATAATTAGAACAAATCTGTTTCCATTGAGCCTGATTGTCTCTCTCTGAACTTGGCCAGTGTTGTTTCAGTATCGATTAGATGTAGAAAAAGGGCAATTTCTTTCTCTCTTCTTGGCTTTTTCTGGCCATCATATGAGGAGGGTTCCTTCCAGGTCCCTGACAACTAGAAAGGCTGGTGCCTCTACCTTTTTATAAAAGACAGAAATAAAAATGCTTTTCTCAGGAGAGCTAGAGAGTTGTAGCAGCAGATCCAACCTTCTGTACAGAAATAGGAAATGGCTTGTGTGGTACCATGTGAAGGGCACCCAGAAGCTCCCGCCCCAGAAATATCTTCCCATCTGTCCTTTCCTATTTCCTGAAATGCCACCATTAGGAGTTCATTTCTATGTTTTCCTGGCTTCTCATCCTCTCTTTTCAATGCACATACTACAGGCAGAATGAACACATTAACAAGTTTTTATTTAGAGTAACACATGGATTTATAGTAGTTTAATTATTCCATCGGAGACACTGTCTTCCAGTAACTAGCTGAAGATCAGCAATGCCAGGGAAAAGCCAGATTTCAATAAGGGTGCAGAGAAGGTTCATGTGGAGTACAACAGTATGTGGGATGAAGTTCTAACAAGGATGGGGCTTAACCTGTTAGAACCTAACCTGCTTGTGTGCCTCTGGGTCTGCCGGCATGTGAGAGAGCCTGCAGTAGACACTCAGAGAGAATGTGGAGGTGCTGGTCCCTGGTACCCTGAGATAAGGAACTGTAATTCATTCATTCACCAAAAACACATTGAGTGTTTTGTTAGCAAAAACCTGTGCTACATATACATGCTAATAGGTTGTCCTTGCTCTCCATGTCTAGTGGAGATGATGGAAACAGATATGTAAATAGATTAATTGTCATATTGGACATCTGTACAAAGGGGAAAAGTTCAGAGGGAAGGAGGCAATGAAGGCAGAGTGCAGCTGGGGTAATGAAGAAAGCCCTCACCAGCTGGGCAATACTTGATGTGACTCTTGAAGGCAGTGGGAGCTGTTGGGGCAAGTAAGGGATGATGAAGGGGAAGGCAGCAGGTGTGTTCCAGGTGGAGTGAGCACGAGTCTGGAGGCAGGGTGGCATGAGAGAGACAAGCAGCTGGGACAATCATCCGGGTATGCTCAGAGCACAGAGGAGGGGATGAGTGGGAGAGGCAGAGAGATGCGACTGGGAAGTGAGGGAAGCACTGAGGAGCAGGTCACAAAGAGGCGACACAGGGCACCAGCACGACAGATCCTGGGTACCTCTGGACCTCAGCCTTGGACCTTTGTCCCTCTTCAGCCTCTGTGAGCCTTATTCATGTGTTCATTCAGCTCCCCAGCCCTGTGAACACATGCATAGGACAATGTTTAAATGACAAGGAGTCCCTAGTGAGACAAAGGGATGTATTGCCAATTAGAGATTTAAGTCTTTAGGGAGATGAAACACTCCAGAATTGTTTATGAGAGTCTGACACCCCATTAGCTCACCTAAAGTGCTATATAGCGTATTCATATATGAATTAAAATTAATTGTGTTTGGAGACTTTGGGATGTAGCAAATCAAGGTAGAAATCACTGCTGGAGCCCTGAAACTCATTTAGCATATAAAAAATACAGCACTTTGAAATCCTTAGTGAGACAGATTACCAGCATTAATGCCGTCAATACTAATGATGGTTAATAATTGGAAAATCATATTTATAAGAACAATAATAGCAGAGGCAAACCAGACATCAAACCTCCTAACTCTAATATAAAATGCTGTATTATAAGCTTCGCATTTTCTTCTATTGCTTGAATCTTAGTTATTTTGACATATTTATCCAGAAAATATTGAAGTTTCTATGCTTAACCCAGAAATGACAAATTGCTTCTTGTAAATATTATACTTACAGTAAAATTCACTGTAAGATAAATGGTTACATAGATATTGGACCCAGTAGTGAGAAATATATTTGAATTCTAATAAGGACTGGTTCAAGCTTAAAAACAATTAATAACTGTCAATTTCCCATAAACACAATGACAAGTGAAACCTTCAAAAGGAGCACCCAAACCACAAATAATTAAAAAAAATATATGTTGATTAACAAAATGACTGACTACATTAGGATTCTTCTAAATTATCTTTTGATCGCAGCCATCCCGTCTCCTTTACCCCCATGGATATGGAACCAGTGCCGCTTAGTGCCATAGTCAGCCCTTCCCCAAATATTTTAAAACGACCTCAAGTTCTGTGGCTGCCCAGGAGGGGTGCCACTTGTCTCTCCCTTCAAGAAAAGTCATGTCATTTTGCAGTAAGCAGTGAAGCGAGATGGCAGCCCCCAGCTATCAGGTCCTTCACAATTCACCTCCGTAGGCCTTGGGCAGTTTTGAAGAAGCATCATGGGCCTCTCTGGCCTGTCCATTTCTGCCCAGTGCAGGGCTCCTTTAAGACTTGCCCTGTCCAACCTTGCCTCATCATTTGACTCTCATAGTTTTGGGTTCCTGACAAAACTCATAGAAAATGTCTGCTTCCTGACAGACACAAGATCCTAACAGTCAGCAACATTGACTTGATGTGGAACCAACTTTTTTTTAAAATATATTTTATTGATTTTTCACAGAGAGAAAGGGAGAGGGATAGAGAGTTAGAAACATCGATGAGAGAGAAACATCGATCAGCTGTCTCCTGCACACCTCCTACTGGGGATGTGCCCGCAACCAAGGTATATGCCCTTGACCAGAATCGAACCCGGGACCCTTCAGTCCGCAGGCCGACGCTCTATCCACTGAGCCAAACCGGTCAGGGCGTGGAACCAACTTTTACTTTATGGTTTTTTATTCCTTCCCTTCAATCTCTAAAGAACTGACCTCTTACTCTTCACATATCCATAGAATTCATAGGCAGCTCCTCGCTATGTCTCTACTTCCCAGATGTTCCCGTCTTGGAAAAATAAAAGATTCCTGGAGAGCTGTTCTCTAGGAGTTGCTCTCACTGAATTGCTTCTCAGATTGCTACTTTGTTTCCACACCTCGGGTGTACTCAGTACAAAACATAGGCACACTACTGAACACAGAATTGAATAGTCCAGTAGACTTAATAGACTTACTGCAACACAGATAAGCAGCGCAAACAACATGTTGATGTACTGAGATCAATAAGGATCTGGAAGACATTCAGGCTCAGTGCCGAAAGAAGTTCACAGTAAGCAGGGTTTGAAAGATGTAAGAGAGTCTAAAAGGAGATTACTGGTAGGCAGTATAAATTCTTCGTGGTACACGGAGTAGCAGAGAAAAACGAATGAAGCTTTAGGAATGAAGTCATTAGTGAAAACGATTGGACACAGGGATTTTTAATTCAATTCTTATCTCTATCACCAAGGCACTTAAATGCTTCCACTGCAAAAAAAGAGTAACAACTTGCCATTATATTTCATTTGTAAAACACCCAAAGTTTTCCAAACATTGGCATTGTTTAACAATAAAGGCTTATTCCTTGTTCTAGATTAATATAAAACAAGTGAGTATTTAGCTCCCTTAAAAAGTTATCCCAAATATTTATAATGCTTAAAAATTGGAGAAATAATGCTTATTTTTATGCCCACATTAAGTCAGATGTAAGC